ACCTTTAAGATATAGCCCATCACTGTTCATCACAAACACATGCCTGTCAGTGACTCTGTGGTAAAACAGACACTGCAGAATGTCAAATGTAAAACTTTAGCCCAGTTGGCAAACTGACTTTCTAACAATTGAACAGCTTCAATATTAAATAGCCCTAACTTTAAAGTTTCTTTTTAAGATAATCATTTATTTTCAAAGTGGCACAATTTTGCCACTGAGTTTTACTGACTTCATCAACGTGTTTCACAGACTCACGCAAAATTGAAATTTCTGACTTTACAGGGACTTTCCCCAATTTGTTTTTATTTTATTAAAGTTTTTTCTTTAAATATAATAACTTTCCCTCTGGAATTTACAGCATATGAATATTTTCTAAATGTTTTCTCTAAGAATGTAGAGGATCCCCTAAGGATGCAATGAGGATACTGAGTGGATTGGTATCAGGCAGATCCAAAGTACAAACATAAACAGTGTTAAAAATTCCACGTCACTTCAAAAATCAGACTCAACTTTTGTAAATCTCAACAGTTCTTGCACTAATATGCTGTTGCACTAATTTCTTGTTGCAGTAATCTGTTGTTGGAAACTGTAGAAAAGTGTTAATTCAGGTCTAAGAGTGATTGCCAGCACACAAAGTCCTTTCTAATAATAAAGAATTAGTATCCCAGTCTGCTTCAGCTTACAGTATAAGCCATTGGAAAAGCGCTCATGCACATTAAGGAGCTGAAGCACCTGGACTTGAAGGTGTCAAATGAAAAACTGTTTTGTGTTTTTGTAGTTTTGGTTAGTCATTTACTTTCATTATTTTTATTTCTGTGGGTACATAGTTGTTTTTGTTAAACTTTGCAAAACTACTGATTTCCACGGTTGTTTTGTGTTGTATTCTTTAAAAAGTGGTCTGTGATGGGTCACCTGTTGTAGTGGACGTTTCCCTGGCTGGCAAATCTGTGCGTTTCTCAATTGCATTTGTACGCTCTTTTAAGAGTGATAAGCTATGCTGGACTTATTGCTGAGTAGTTTATAATATACTACGTGCATTCTGACTTTTTTTTATTGCACTTCACAATTTTGTTATCTTACAAAAACTGGCAGGCTCTCATTTAATTTTTATAGAGCTTCCAGACTGCTATTATTCTGGACACAGCAAGGCAACACAATGAAAATAATCTAAAAAACAGAACTTGCCTCAGAGACTCACATTGGTTTTACTACGTTTCTTAAGCGAGTTATGGCTTTAGTCCCTTCTCTGCCTTTCCGGTAGAGACCATCCGAAAGACGCCTTCTTCTAAAAAGCCTTTCATGTGAGCGTGTGAAAGACGCAGTGACACATATGGCAAAAATTTAGATTTACCATTTTTCAGATTTATGGTTTCTCCATTAATTCAAAATTTCAAAATTTCATATCAGTGTAAATATAATTTGTCCATAGCCATGCCTCATTCACCCATTTTCTTTCCCAAAACAACTTCCAACTTCATGCCAACCTTGAACTTATTTTATTTATTTATTATTTAAACACACTGAGTCCAATTACCCCTCCATATGTGAGACTGCGCATTGGATCACCCACTGAGGTGTATCACTGGCCATATGCCTAAAGAACAATAACTATTCCTCCCGCCCCCAGATCCCATCAGTTACCAACATCACCTCAGCTGGGGCTGAGTCTTGAGAGCCCCATCTCTGCACAACCATACTGGGTTTTCTAAATTGACTTGATCTTGGGTAGAACTTACACAGGTAACCCCTGCTGTGAGTTCATGTATACAAGAGCCATACTGTATGCAGAGAACAGTATTTCACATTTTCACATCACTAGTCCCTCCAGCTCGGAGACACTTTTTTTTTTGCCCCCCCTTTCTGCATTGCTCTGTGAGCCTGCAAGGAGATATGTAGTTGTCTTATCAACTACTGAGCCCTTGTGGGGACATTCAGCTCTTTGAGCAGAAATATGTTACTGCCAATGTTCCACGAGAAACTTCTTTGACCAAGATGGGAGCCCCAGAGAACTATATATACAAATATTTAAAGGGCATATTCTTTTCTCGAGTATCCAAACTTTCCTACCTTCCTTGCTCTCTTCAATGAAATAACACCACAACCCACCTGGTTTTCAAACCTGAGGAAAAGGTGCAGTTTTCAAAAGCCCCTTTGTGTGATTTGTCTACTTAACAAGTTTTCAGTTCATCTCTGTCCCCACACACTTCAGTTAACTCTGCTAAGATCAATTCAGGCCACTGTGCTGTTCACTTGTAGTATAGCTTTCTAACTAGTCACACATTTATATTAATTATGTACCCACCAAGCAAACCCACCCCTGTAGGCAATGGCGATCTTTTGCAAAAACAGAGTGACTAGACTTGGAAAACTCGGAAGCAGAAAGCATTAAGTACATCTCCCAGATTTTTTCCTGGAACACTTAAATATAATATATCCCCAGCAAAGAAAGCAGAGGAGTTACCAAGCTGTTAGAGAAAGATTCTCTTCTCTACTTTGGCTAGCAGGATCTTCAGAAAAGTGCTAGAAACACTTGCCCCCCCCATAAAAAAAACAGAAACAAAAACAAAATCAGACTTTCTTAATCTGGACATTTCTGGGATACTGTGGATAATTTCAGAAATGCATTATGTTGGGAAGAATAAACTCCACATGGATGATGGGAGTAGTGGATAACATTTATGTTGAATATGATAAAACAATGATCTGGACATGGCCACAATGGGCACTTCCTTAGACTATGTGGCGTAAATGGTCTTGACAAGTCAGCTACTTCAAATTCATCCAGAGTAGCTAGAAACCGACAGAAATCCTACATATGAAACCTTCGTTGTATGAAAAATCAGGGTAAAAGTCCAGTTCTCCATATTGCTCAATTCCATTCACCTCCTCATATTTCACATATATGTCCTGCCTTCTCAAAGTTACATCGTCAGGGTGACCTGGTGTGAGCCACCTCAGCTCATTCCCAGCTCACACAGGCCTACAATATATTTATGGTATTATGCTTCATATACTTTAGATCCACGTAACCGTTTGTCTTGAGAGTTATTCTAAACAATTGTTACTATTGACTGTAACCCATGTGCATAATCATCATTTGTAATACTTAAGATAGTCGAGTGTACGGGCAGCCAGTAAATATATGGAGGATGCACATGAAAGTAGTAAGGAAAATGTGAGATCTAGTTAGTTGAGAAGAAAGGTAGAGCTGCAGGAGCTGCAGCTTAAAATATGTTAGGTTCTAACTGAGCAAGGAGGGAATAAAGGGAAAGGCTGTTGGAGTGAGGGAGGCGGCCCAGTAGGAGGCGTTTTTTATAATTGGGAATGTAGTAACTGAACTCAACTTCCACACACCTGCAAGGAGTTGCTACAAACAGCAGGAACCAGTTCCCCCAAGTAAATGCTTACTGCTCAAGCATGAAGAAGTGTAGGGTGTTGGAACAGAAACACAGTGCTGGCAGGGAAAGGGGGAGATGTCTGCCCTAGCAAGGTTTCTAGATGGTTGTGCGGTGAGGATTCGGGCCAGAGGCATGGATCGTTGACTTTGTACTCACGAGTATTAAGTTTGGCTGGGTTGAGACTTGAGCCACATGGCAGACACTGACTCTAACAGATAACACAGTTTTGAGGAGGTTGTTGAAATGCCCTGTTTCAGGGGGACAAGGCATATAACTGATTTGTAAGAGAAACTAATTATTATGTCTTAATAGCAGTTAAGGGCAATAAAATGCTTGTATGAACTGAATTGTTGAAATTTTAAACAGGGTAGATATTTCCAGATCTGGGGGGGGGGGTTGTCCTACAAGTTTCTTAGTTGTAGAAATAACAACCAAAAGTTAGTATAGAAATAACAACAAGAGAGTTAATATAGAAATTTGAAAGTGAACTTAAAATAAATGTATACCTTTAAGTTTGTATGCGTGTCATATAAAGTTAAATCTAATTTAAATACAATAAGCTATAGATAGGCACGGTTAAATGATAAAATGTAAAGCCAAAATGTAATGTTCAACGGAGTTCACATTCTATATTGGTGTAATGATTTAGCACACTCTTCAGCAAGTGCTTCATTCCTTGCTTACTGTTGTTGGCACAATGCCTTGAATTATGGCTGCGACCAGCTGAAAGTCTAGGTTGTGGATATTGCTGAATGGAAGGATGACTCACCTGAGTCCTTTGTAGTCTCATCTCTTCTGGAATCAATCACTTGGGAATCTGGATACACACTGGAAGCCAGTCAGATAAAATCTCTTCACCACAGAGTGTCCTTGAGGAAGGAGTGTGGACTATGGAGCCACAGAGACCTCCTGTCTCACTTGTAGTTTATACTCTGTGAGTTGTCACATCTGAGTACATTGACATGTGAGTCACAAAATTGTCAGGAGCCTATAATGATGACGTATGACGACTTGGTTTCGTGATACATTGTATTCTTTAAATGCTAAGGGCTAATTTAACTTCTATGTGTATAGATTTAGCTGAGTGGCCTGATTTTAAGTATGAAAAAGGCTAGACTGGCCTTTTGAAACGGTTTTAATATGCTTCACCGAAAAGGCTGAGTAAGTGTAATCTAAACAGACTAAAATCAGGAGCTTTCAAAGTTTCGTTTTCCTTTAGTTTTGTTCTTTGTATACATTTTTTTTTTCAACATAAAGCAACAAGGGCACTTGAACAAGAATACATAAAAAATATTTAAAGTACATCCATATCCAAAGCTAAACGGTGTTGTTTCAGATACATCACAGGATGACATCAGGATCATTTGGGCAAAAAATACTTAGCTAAAGGAAATGGCACATTTAAGTTTTTCTTTAAAAAAAAAAGCATAATAACACTTGAGAAGAAATATTAAAGATAATTTGCTTTGCACTAGTTTGTCTGGCTGTGGTCGTCGACGGGAAATAATGGGGCTGATTGCAATCAAGGCTGTCTTGTGAGACTGAAAAGACAGAAGGAGGTTGTAGCGGGAATGAGCGGATTGTTTTATCTTTGTTTTGCAGATTTACTTGCGTTTCTTGGACTATGAGATGCAGAATTCAAATGAATGTAAAAGGAACTTCGTGGCGGTGTATGATGGCAGCAGCTCGGTGGAGGACTTGAAGGCCAAGTTCTGTAGCACCGTGGCTAATGACGTGATGCTGCGCACAGGCCTGGGGGTGATCCGCATGTGGGCGGACGAGGGCAGCCGCAACAGCAGGTTTCAGATGCTCTTCACATCCTTCCAAGAGCGTAAGGTTCTCTTTACTTGGCTGGTTGTCCTTCAGATGTGTCCCTGGGCTGCAAAGCTCCTCAGCTGCTAATGGGGTTTTCTTCATGCAGTTTGGGCACAGCAGGATGTTCCCTAATAAGTGGTTAAAACCAGTGAGGTTCCTTTCTCCCTCAATCTGATGCAGGGAGTTACTTATCACATTCTCAGTACTTACTTCCCTATTTGCATCACAGCCTCCCTTAAGCGAGTGAATGCTCTTCCACTGGGAAATGATGGATTTTGTTTGTCTTTATGTTAGCTCTTCCCAGGAATATGGAGGCGGTGCTGCAGTTTCTGATGAAGCTTGAGTTTATATACCGGTTTCCAGAACTTCATAAAATGTTTGATGTATTGGCTTTAGTAAGCTTCTGTAGAAGTCTTAGTCTCGTTTAATCTGGACGGGCTTGCCTCTGCAGAGCCATAGTTAAAGTGAGGGAAGAGAGGATTGCTTGGGAAGACAGAGAATTAGAGAAAAAAAAAATCAGAATATGTCTAAGTGACGTGATGATGTTTAAAGCTACTGAAAAGTACATCTTTGTTTCCATAAATTTTTAATTGTGAAAATTATAGCCTAACAAGCATCATGAACAGATATATTGAGGCATTCTTAGGGAACTTAGGGCATTTCATGGTTCACAGATATAAGCAAATGAAAGAAAATGCCAAGAAATTCAGCTTTAAAGGATACGAGCCTTGTATTTGGAAGCTATGCATTTTGTTTAAATAGAAAAGAGAAAAAGCTCAGAGCCTTCTACGGCATCTCTTGATGGAAACAGTGCAGTGTGCCAAGATTTTTAAGTACAGAATTGTTAAAAGTTTTAGATAATCACTTTATAAAACACACAAATACTTTTGGCTTTCAGTTTCCTTTCTAATTATGCAGCCAGGGTATTCGGTGGCACAAGAATCCTTGAATGTCACTTGATCTCTCTAAATAGTACCATGGACTTCAAGTGAGTTAAATATCCTGCCCAGCTGTGTGTTGTTTATACATGGTGAAGGCTCTGTCTTCATCTCAGTGGTTAATTTAAATACTGGAGGTCTTGGATCTTTATTTCATTATGGTATTTGAAAAATAATCTCCTATTTTCTAGACTTGAATGTGAAGAAATTCTTACTGTAATTTTTGGCGGGTCATATCTCATTGCTCAGACATATTTAGTGCAGTGTGCCTTTGATAAGGGTCTGCATTTTAAAAGTATGAATTACAATCTACGTGTTCTGTGGAATATAGTTAACATGGGATCTGTTACTTTTGTTATTTTGGCCTTGACAGTTCTTTCTTACTACCTTTAATTTATATAACACATTATGCATTCGCCATATGTGACACGATATTTTGATGTAGGCATTACAGAACTGTTGCGCCTAGTCAGCGATGATACATTTTTCTCCTGTGCAAAGCTAAGAAATGAACATTAAGTTTTCTCACTACAAAAAGAAAAGTTCAGATAGCATTCACAGTGATGGGCTAGAATTAGCCTTGATATTGTGTGGTGGTTTTGTATTATTAATTTATTGTTGTCTTGTGTGACATGTGTGCATGAACCATGGGGAGTGTCCCATACCACACACGTGACAGTAGAGGATAACATTGTGGAGTTGGTTCTTTCCTTCCAGGGATCAAACAGTTCATCAGGCTTATGTGGCAAGCACAATTTTAGATGCTCAGCTGTCTAGCCTGGCCCCTAGTGTGAGAAGTTCTTAAAATGTTCTTTACAATCTGGAATCATGACTTACTGAGATCCCCCCATCTAATTTCATGTCAAAAATATAGAATGGCAAAGTACTGTGGGAATCTCTCAAATATCATGAAAAATCTGCAAATTTTATCTACTGCACCGTAAAATTTAATATGGATAAATGAGAAATATATTGCTAAATTTAAAACATCCGCTACAATTCAAGATTTTATTTTACTCGAGTGCAATATGAGCCAATAACTTCATTATGAGGAAAGCACACTTAGGTGTATAATTAAAGGACTTGCAGTAATCATACAAAAAATAAAAGATATCAGGTGCATGGGATGCTACAGTAATCAAAATGAAACCCTATAGCTCACATTTTGGTATTTTTATGGGGAAAATAAGCCATTGGGAAGCTTGACCATGTGTGGGATAGCAGGAAATTTCAGCTGACAACTAAGGTCCCTTTTACCTCTAAAATGGATTATTGATTTCTATGAGTATTTATAAATCCGCATGCATATAAGAAATGGTATTATGTGTCATGCTATGAACCTACCATGTAAGTATAGTTAAGAGAAAATACAGCATCTCAGTGTCTGTGACTTTATAAGCTATTAAAACTATTTAGTGAGTAACTGTAACAATGAACAGTCTGCAGGATATAGGATGCTCCTTCAATATCGAAGGGAAGTCCACCTAACCCGTTAAGTTCTTCCATAGGAGAGGAGATCTACTTGTTTTGGAACAAGGGGCGGGCGTTACAACAACAGTTTCTGGGATTGTTACATTAATTTGCAATGAGTTTTTACCGAAGTCATCTTGTGTGATCTTGATTTTCTTGCATGTTATATCAAATATTCTCTGTTGTTGCACAAAATATGGTTAGTTTGTCAGGTGAAACTCAAATGATGTCTATAAATTCCTCAAATTCCATTTGTTAAGAACCTAATAACCAATATGAAACCTTTAGGAGGTGGGATCCTTGTAAAATGATTAGATTTCAAAGGCAAACACTCATTAATGGGATTGGGCTTCACAGGCAATCTCCTCAGTGAGTATACCCCTCCTCCCAACCCGTGAGGTGCTAGTGTGGTATTTTCACCTGTCAGCTGATCATTACCATGAACCAAATTTGCTGGTATGTCAATCTTGCACTTTGCAGATTCTAGAACTGTGCAAAAACAATGCCTCACTTGTAAGTGGGTTGTATTTCACTATAACATCACAAGAAAATTAAATAATTGGTAAAGATTTTTATCATGGCTTTTTTTATTTGCTCTCCTTCATTCTCCATCATTGTTTAGAACTGTGTTTGTGTACTAAATGGTGAAAGTCATTATGTAATGAGCTGTGTGTGTGTGTGTGTGTGTGTGTGTGTGTGTGTGTGCTGCTTTATTTATTGGAACCATGTTCTACTAGATAAGGTGCAGAAACTGTGAAAAAATATCAAGTGGGCTCCTGTTTGAAATGCATGTGTTAGAAACATTGAGATGGGTTCTTATACTGGTGTCAAGGAGATTCATTGTAGAACCTTCAGGCTCCTCGCCTAGAGTGGCTTTGTGCAGCGTTAGCTCTGCAACAAGTCTAGACCTGCATCGTGAACGATAGTGATGACTGTAGTTGTTTGTAGTGCATTATTCTCTTGTCTGTTGCTGATAACACAGTGTATGTAGACTCCATCAGTCATAACAAGGCAGACTTGGGGTTTGGAGGGATGGACATGCAGCTTTTAGGCTTGTTCTGGCGACAGACTAACTGATATCTATAATTAGCACAGATATCACGTGTGTACTTTTTGTGTGAGTGTTCACACTTGTGTATATGGACACATGTGTACATATATGCATGATTATGTGTGTGAGTTTCTAGGTGTGTAATGTCTCTCTCTCTCTCCTGCTTTATTTGGGGCTTCTCAGAGTCAATGATGGGTCTTCACACTGATGAATTATTACCAATAAATTGAGTTTTATCTTACTGACTTATGTCAAAGTGTTTCTAATAATACAGCTAAATATATTAAGATCACTTTCCACAGTCACTGATTTTTATCCTAAGGAATCATGTGGTTAGAAAGATTATGTTTAGTATTTAACTTTTAGCACATTTATTTGTAACCAATTATGGCAGAAGTGCTTATTTAGCATTGACTCCACGTCAATGCGGGGAAGCTGGAGACCCCGGTTTTTGTGTGTGAATTCAGTAATGGGATTGGGTGCATCCCACAAGTCAGGACACTTCTCACTTCTAGAGAGCTTTTCATTCTTCTGCTCCCAGGCAAAGCTTTTTGCACATTATCAGTATTTGATAGGTGAGCAGGAAATGCCTGTTGTAAAGAGATAAGCAAAGTAAAAGATATGTTTAAATGCTGAATGCTTTAGGATCATATGGAAATTATTGACAATAAATTGCTCAAATAGCACAGTACGTGTGGTTTCATGTCAACTTATAAGTCAAAGTAGGAGGTCTATTTTTTTTATTAAATTGCACATAATATCCTTTTGATGTCAAGGGAATTGTGAAGGGTTATTCTTAGATGAGGTAAAAAGTTCTCATCATATAAAAAACAGTCTATAATACCTATGATACAGCAGCACCTACAGATAGAATTCCCAGGATACAATAGCATCTACAGATAGAATACTCTCCGTATAGCTAGAATTCTTGAGATACATCAGCACTTATAAATAGAATACCCATGATAAAGCAGCATCTGCAGATAGAATGTCCACAGTATATCCACACCTAGAAAAAAGTAGCCATAATGCAGTAGCACCAATAGATAGAATACCCATGATACAGCTGCTCATACAGATAGAATACTCACAGGACACCAGGATCTACAGATATCTTCTGAAGTGAATGGTGCTGTTTGTATTCTGTGGCAAAATGTCCCTGAGATTGTGAATCCTTTATCAAATAGTTACAAGATAATGAATAAAAAAGGTAAGACCTGATCAAACCGGAAAACTCTACGAAACATAATCCAGTTGTGACTAGAGGAGTCATGTGTGAACTGATTGCATCTTAGGGCATCAGACACTGGAGTTCAAAGAGTTTTTGGCCACAAACAAGTAGAGAAATGAGGAACTGAGTCAGGCAATTCCAAGAATTTGAGTTTCACATAGTCTAAAATTCTGGGAAAAGGAATCTGCACAAAGTTGAAGATCAGAGCTACAGCTGATGCCTGCATTGAAACTTTTGTGGTGATCCTCTTGTTAAAATTCAGGCATCTGTACTGGCCTGCCCTTGGGGTTCAGGCAGGATATGTCCTCAGCTGCAGCCTAAGAGCA